CAAAGCTGGACCCGCACCTTCCTTTCGGTGATAGAAGTCTACGGAATGCCCACGGATGACAACTGACGCCCCGAGCCTCTCCTCCGCAAACGTAGATGCAACTACCGGCCACGGCTACAGCGCAGTCAGCACGTGGCCCTTGCATTGACGGCAAGACTTGCCAGGAAAGCTCGGTGTCGCTTTCTCCAAGTCCTTCCAAGCAACTGCATGCTACCGGGCTAGCTGTGCCTATGACCGTGAACACCCTCCAAACCACAAGAAGCAATGCCAAGTTGACATGGACAGAAGCGAGGATTCTGCATCACTCCTTCACATCGAGCCTTACACTCCAGAATTCAGAAGCCACGTGTCTCCAGGTCAACCACTACAAGACATGCACAGGAGTGAAATTGAGAACGTATCTGAAACAATGTTGCGCGGGCTCGTGTAAACCGCGCAGGCAGATGTGCTTGGTGCTTTGCAGAGGTGGACGATTAAGAAAACGATTAAGAAATCAAGTTGTCGGACGCCGTCAAGTGTCAAAGCCAGCAATACTCTGCTGAATATGCAGAGCTTGAGCTGTGCTTGCTAGTTCTCAGGAGATGAGTAGGACTAAGAAGAGGTGCCGTGCAGTCACTCACCCTATAAATTGTTCAACAAAATCTCCCAGAAATGGTCGAGATACTCCGCAACTGCATACTGAAAGTTTTACATAGTCATGTGCGTATAAAGTCATATTAACTTCTTCTGGTGCCCTGCTACAGTTCCCCTTACAAGCGGCATCGCAGGAACATACAGATTGGGAATCTGATCTTGCGCTCTTGGAGGGTGCGGCGTGCTGCGACGGAGGAGTGATCCCAGAATCTAAACCTTTTGCAAACGGCCCGTCATAATTCGCATCAGCGTGGTTAGCCACGTTCCCGAAAACAGCACGGTGCGTTCAGGCGTGAGGTCAACTACGCGCGTTTCAACTGCGCAATGGCTTGCTGCTGTTGCGCTATTGCTGTGATTGCTGCTGCTGCTGCTGCCGCCGCCACTGTTGCTGCTGCAGCTGATGGGATGCAGTTGCTCCAGCAATTCCTTTCTCTTCTGGCCCGCTTCAACTATGACTACAGTAAATGGTAATCAATTGAAGTCCATCATGCTGGACAACATGGCTCACAGAGACCCGAAGAACGTTTGCTCGCTTCGGGCCTAGCGCTGAAGCAGAAGCCAAATAGCAGCCATCTGAAACACCTGCACGGGACCAGGTGGATGTCCCTCAAAGACAGCGAAGCTCATCTTCAGTGGGAAATAGAACCACACCAAAACCGTCTGGATCGAGCGGTTGCCGGAGAAAAGTAGACTTATCAGAGATCCACGCCTAACGTCTCAACCTCACGTCCCAAAACCACTGCCTCCGCAGACCACAGCTCGTTGCCCCACTCGCGCCACAGCTGCGCCTCAACAGCATCACAAGAGCAACATATAGCAGCATCCACAGCAACCACATCAACAACATCGTCCATGTGCAAGGCAAGGCAAATTAAGATGTAGCAGCACAAGAAGATACAAAATGAAGAAGCAGCCGAAGCAGGAGAACTTTCTGGAGCATAACGCCAGCAAAAAAGAGCCCGCAGCCACGCCAGCACATAAGACATAAGCACAAGCCGACTGAAAAGCGCCCAATTGATGGAGCTTTGACTCAAAGCAAACGATGAGAATGTCGAGTTGCCGCCTACACGGCCACCATCCATGGAAGCAACCAGCTGCCACAGTTGCGCCTGAGGGTATACATGTCTTGTATGCAGAAATCAAGCGCGGGGGCTGGCTCTGCCTTACGTACCTGAGCTGCAACAGTCTAAGGAATGTCTCCAGCACCGGAACCATGAAAGGCGGTACAGGACTAGTCTACCTGCCTGCGTGTCCCAGCAGTCTACTGCTCGAACTTCAGACTCATCATCTTGGCCTTCATGCTGAACAAGTCTACGGAAGAATAGCAGCAAGCAGTTCCCTGACCAAGAAGCCAGTCAAGAAAGGACACCCCCCATAAGCCAAACTGCAACCAAGTAGCCGCAAAGAAGCAGCAAGCAGCTTCGAAGCGAAACTGCAGCAGCGAACTTCCGAGGGCCACTCGGCATCCGGGCAAGAGGCTTCCACTCGCGGTCCGCCAGCGAAAATCGTTCCACTTTGTCCGTGGCAACCCCAGAAGCCAGCACGCCTCCACAAACCTCTCTGTCTGCACAGTCTGCAACACCAAGGCAACTTCCGTGGCTGCAGCATGAGGTCTAAGTGAATAAACTTGTCATGGTATGGGGTTTTGGGGCAGCCCTAAGCATTCACTGTGAGAAGGACATGTAGCAGGTCTGCTTAAGGTGCTTCCTGCTCGTCGGCAGCCCCACTAGCCGGCTCCAAAAGTGTTGACGGACAGCCGGCCTGTGAAGTTGTAACCACGCATAGGGGTATTTTATATGGGATGGGCTGAAGAACAAGAATGATGGCATCCCAACACCACAGTTGCAAACTCATTGACCCCACAGTTGACAGATGCGACCTTTCTTGACGTGGCTTCAGGCCCCTTTCGTGTGAGAGTGTAATCTCTGCTTCTCAGCTCACGGATGCATGGAATTCACAGTTTGCCTAACGGTCAAGCATAACGCAAAGCAAAAAGCTTCTCAGATCCTTCGTCACCCACAAATGCTGGAAGGTGGCAGCGCCTGGGAGTGCACACTGCGCGCGAGCGCGAGCGCAGCTTGATCATCAAGGCTCCAACAACATTGAGACTTCTCAGAGGCGGTCTTCAAAAGGGGGCTGGAGCCGTTCAAGTGGTTGGATGCTCAGAAGGCGTGGTGACCGAGCAATGAGCACGACAACCATGACTTGGGGGTCAGTAGATCATCGATGATAATCCCTTCTGTTAGGCTCGAGTGACATCAACTTTCCACTGTCGCTGCCACTCACCACCATGTAGGCAGCCTCCTCATCAGCTTTCAGACCCCGTAACAGCACTCCCGTTGAGGATCAATGTCTGGTACGAAGTGAATCCATGTGGATCCGCTCCAGGTCCAGCAGCCGCCACAAAACAGGTCACGACGCAACGAATCGAATCACTTGTGGCAGGTCACTGGCCTGCAGAGGTTGGATCATACGTTCCCCCCGTCGTATGACTTTCCTATCGTCACACTTCTGTACAGCTAACAAGCTGAGCATCCACGGGCCTCATCCTTTGCAAAAGATTCATACGCCCGGGAGATGATCCATTCGTTGGTTTTGGTGACGTGGAACGTTTTAGGACCTCATACCATTTGCCCATGTGATCCAATTCCGCGATCCGTTTCCCGACATCATTTGAATATATGCGGATCTGTTACCTTAAGATTCCCACAGCTGCCCAAGCCTGAGAAAGCGCCCCCTTCTTTCCTGGCTTTGGGCTCGGGGATGATCAGGGAGCGTGGGACACTTGGCGCAATTGTATGAATCTGTTCCACTAGCTTTCTCCGCCATCCTGTTCTTCGACCTCCCCAACTGTCTTCCACCATCATCAAGTTGCGGATCTAATCTCCTTCTCGGGCTGACGCACTTGGCCTGCAAAGACGTGCGGCTCGTGCACTTTAGGCACGTTGATTTAGACCCACTCAACGAGCATCTCCCTCTGCATGCCTTGCTAGCTGACGCTGCCAGACTTCTACATGATCCTGTTAGCAGTCCTGGCAGCGCTTTAGTACTTCAGGTTATAGCAGACATTAGCAGATGCGCCTGAACCGGCATGCTTCGGCATCGAAGACGCCGCCAAGAATTGTCAAGAATAACGATTCTTTGCATCTACCCAGCTTTTTCATGAAGTGCTCGGTCAGAATTCTAAGAATACGAACTTCGTGCGTGTGTCAGGCTGGACAGGCCTAGACCGCAGGCAAGGAACATAAACGTCTCCGCAGACTACTGCTGCAGCAGGCGCTGTTCGCCAAACGGACGGAGGTGGGAGCACCTCTGTGCGCACCACGGCAACAAAAATGCAACAATGATCACATCATGAGCAAGCCAAATGCACAGTTCGAAGGAGAACTCAAGACAAGTGACCACGCCTCCTGGAATGCATCGGTACCATGGCAATCCATCCGTACGCCAAGCGCAGCCATACCAGGCTCCTGGCTGCTGGACATTATGTAGTTGCGGGTGGCCTTGAGAGTGTAGGCAAATGAGCAAGCTGGCGTTAAGCGCGCATCACCCCAGCATTCTGCCATGCTCTGTCAGCAGACGAGGCATTGGAGCTACACTCCTCTGGTCGGTCATCATCGCCCGTGACCCCCAGCAGGTAGACACAGCCATCGTCCGCTGACCGGGCTGCAGCCGTGACCGACAGCGTCAGGGGAAGTATCATGTTCCAGGAAGAGCAAGCATCCCACAGCTCCAGTGTCCATGATCTCTCCTGGACTCAGAGCGCAGACCCTTCGCTCAAAGAGCAGGAACAGCTGGACATGAAGAGTCGGTGCTCGTCCTCCAGAATGTCGCTGATCACTAAAGCTTTGCAGGGATAGAGCCTGAGCCAACAGGACTGGCACCTGAAAGAAATGCCGCAGCTAACGTCAGCCACATTGCCTCTCCAGAGTGGGCCGCAGTGCGGAAAGGACTGCGGCAGCATGTCGAGATGCGCAATGCAGAGGCGAGATGGCCCGCAGTCCGAGAATGGGAGCAACCTGCCATGCAAAGCTTCTTCAGCGCTTGTTGTTGCATACTTCTGTGAAACTGTTCTTGGGAGCAACTGACTGAACCTCGCGCAGCAGCTCTCCCGCGAACAGCCCCATGGACCACGCCGCTGGACAATCCCGAAATGCATGCCATGGTCCAAAAACGGATGAACAACAGCCAAGAACAGCGTGAGGCTCAAGGTGACTTTGGCTCAGCATTGACCCTGATCTTACTTAGCATATCCTGCTCGGCGTTCTTGAGGTACTTTGGAGACTTCTGAGCCGAGCAATATTCTTGAAGAACTGCCGGTTACAGCAAAGGCAGAGAGGTGGACGCATGTCAGCTCAGCTGCCAACTCCCGCTTGGAAGTCGGCAAGGAACAGTGACTTCAGCTTGGCTTCGCTCTCCTGGCGCGACAGGTCATGAAGGAGAGACACGTGTCCCAGGGTCCCAGTGCATCTCAGGTCGACAAGTGCAAAGATACCCTCATCTTATGATCAGCACGTGTGCCGACACAGTGGCAACTCGTGCCTGCCCTTGCTTCTTCAATGCCTCACAGAAGAGCCACATAATGCTTCACACAGCAATTTCTCGACCCACTCATCCTGCTGCCACAATGGACTGACTCTCGTGTGAGAACAAAGTTCAGCCCACCTTAATGCCGCTGCCCAACATCGTGAGCAAACTTTCGGCTTCGCCGGTCTCTCCAGCCTCTGACCAAGCTTTGATTCACAACGTGGGTCTTGAACACACATGTTCAAAGCTTTGTCCGCTCGCAGAACAGACTGTGCAGCCTTGGCCTCTATCTTCTCGGCCGGCTCCTCTCGGCAGCATGCCATCAGTGTAACTGTAACAACAATGCAGCCATTGCTCAATATGAACACCCGCAAGACCTCACATGCCATATTTGCCTGGGCTGCCTGATCATCCCTGTTCAACATGATTCTGTCCGTCTCGGAGGTCGAAGAAAGCGCCAGCAAGGAAAGGCTCTTTGACGTAGCCTTCTCCTTCAAACAGCCATCTGCTATGAACACTAGCGACTTGAGGAAAAAGATATGACCCTGCAGGCCACAGCCGAGCCTCGGCAAGCACATCAAGCTCCTTCGCCTGCAAGCTCTGGATCGCGAATTTTCAACAAATGCACAAGTGCTTCAAACACGGCATTGCTTAGGTCAAAGGGCTACCAGATTGAGCACACACAGCTGCTAACAGTGAAAACCTTGCTGTCGTCAGTCTGCTCAACAGACTCTGTGAGGAACTTCTGTGCTGCAGCCAATTGATCCTCTCAGTGCAGCAGTGCGCGGTTTTTCGCAACCGCATGATCGTTTATGTCTGCCCCTCGCTGAGGCAGAACGTTGGGAGCTGCTAGCCATATGTGTCTTCTCTTCTGAGGAACGCAAAGCTTCAGGGATGAGGTGCTGGTGTTTGCGTAAGCTGGATAGTCGAACATGTTGATCATCACATCTCCCACAGTCAGATTTCTCATTCCAAACAAACCTACCGTGTCTAGTCAAACCTGCATTCAGCACGTGGTCCTGAAGCAGCTTCAGTTCGTTGTGGCGCAGCGAGTTTCCCTGAAGCACAGCTCTCCATGCTGTCACGATCTATTAGCTCACTTCCAACGAATAATCTGGACCGATTCTGCTGCAAGAGAAATATCAAGACCCAACAAACAACTCTTCTCAGCCACAGAAGCCTTCTGCAGGGATTGCGCATGGCGCAATAGGTCCTCGTTTGCCTGCTAACGTGCAAACAGCATCCAACAGCACAGCCTTCCTGACCAGTAGAATCCAATTCGTGGGCCTTCTTCGTTTCCATAATGGTCTTGGCAATCAAAGCATTCTCCTGCACGGATAAACTTACCCAGGGGCAGTGGGGTCATCCAAATCCCAAACGCTCACATTGAACGTGCGCAGCATACTGTACAAGTATTGACTCGAAATTTCCGCTTGCGCTGTAGAAGGACAGCATAGGACAGCCCAGACCTTCACCACGTCCAGGTTCTTCTGCTCCTGCTCCTGGCAGCATGGAGATCGCAACTATCGACGGTTGCCTCCATGCGTTTGAGGATTCGGCCTTCAGCTTGCGGTCGAAAACCGCTTTCTGGCGCTGCATGCGTGCCGCGTTCTCCTGCTGCACCTCAGAAAAAACTCTGATCTGCAATGCCCTGGGAGAAATGCCGCAACCGAAAGCAAGCGGCAAAAAAAACAACTATCATTCCACTCTGAGAGCAGCAACCGTCAGCATCTGCGCCTGCAATCGCTGTGCTTGTGAAGAAATGCCTGCAGAGATGCTGATGATGCCAAATGTTGAGCGGGAAGATATGAGGCGAGGCTGCATATTCTGAAAAGCGGGATCCAAGATTGGAACCGTTCAACGTCTGAGCAGAGTCAGACAGCATGGTAGACACGGTTGGAAGCTCAGGAAAGCCATTCGTGCCGGCCTTGGCAGTATCAAATTCTGCAAGACATGTGCTGCTCAGTAGACGCATGGGTCCCATGCATCCACCACACCTGGCACCTGAGCAACGACCACAGCCTCAATTTTGAAGGAGTGTAGCAGATCGGTGAACTGAGGCACTAGCCGAAGGAAGTGAAACCTGGCATTCTCGAGGCAGCTTCAAAGACTGGAAATCTGAAAAGGCACACGTGCCTGGTTTGGATCCGGAAGAACCTCCTTGGTCTTGCCCTGCAGTGCAGGGCACGTGGGCACCAATGAGGGGCGGTAGACCACATCAGTCAAGCTTCAAATGACCCAAGATCATACCAATGCCTCGATGGCAACCGCCTCGAGCTTGCAAACCAAAGATGCGGCAACAATCTTTGCCAGCTTCATTGCCTCGGTACTTCACTGTGGGCATGCTTGCAAGCTCTTTGCAGCAACATTTTGAAAGCTGTCCGGATGCATCAAGAGCACGCCTACCAGGGTAGCGTCCCCTCACCTCGTGTCACCCTGGAGCCAAATACTGCAAGATCAAAACCTCGAAAAGATACAGGCAGTGGCATCTAGCAACATGGTCCTGGTGAAACACAAAGTGCTTAGACCCTGCATGCAGCAATCACCAATGATGAAGAAACTGCCACTCACAGAGCTGCGCAGGACTCCGCGCTGCAGAGGGTTTGCAAAATTCGCGTGGAAATGCACTGATTGCATGCGCGATCATGCGCGCATCTAAGCACCTCTGACCCCCTAGCATGTTTTCCTCGGAACTCTTGTCATAACTCTCCCTCTTCGTCTTCATCGTCGTCGATCACTTCATGTCTTTTGCAAAGCCGAGCTCTCCTGCGACAGTACAGGTGCACATCTTGTGAAAAAACTGAAGCTGGAAGAATGCAGGAGTCCTTCCAAAAAAGTGAAGGGCACCCACCCAGCAAGAGCCTTATCCCTCTGGCCGGCCTCGCACATAGCCACCTTTCCCAGTTGTCGGACAACACCTGGTCGAAGGGGGCTGCTCGCTTTTGCGACCCCCCTTTCAAGTTCATGGTTATTGGCGCTGATGTTCACGATCTCCAAGGATGGCCGTCATGGGCCAGCCATCTTTAGCAGAGTCAAGCTGACAACTTTTTTTGCTTATCCTGGGGCGACTAGGTAAATACCCACTCCTGTTCCGCAGGCTCGCTGCTCATTAGCACACAACTAGCCCAGCCAGAAGGGCATGGCTAAGCATGAGGCCTGTCCATGGAAGCGGCTGTGAGGGACCTGCAGAGCTTTAAGGCACAATTCTACAAGCTGCTGGAGGAACAATGGTACTGTCCAAGCAAAAAACCAGTGTCGAGATGGCAGCCCGCTCTTGCAACGCACCGAGCATTGCAGGAAGCTTCAGCAGCGCGGCATGCTAATAGCTAACAATCCAACACACTCCGTTGATGGTCAGCTGCGTCTGTTAGAATAGCAAGAGAAGCCTTGTGCTGCATCATCAGCTGCAGCATATCCAACTTCCTGGCTTGCATCTTGCCATCTACACGCTCTCATCAAGCCAGCCATCTGAAAGCCCTGGTACACTATGTAAATGAAGTACAAAACTTGTTGAAAACTTATTTGCATGCCGCGTGAAAGATGGCAACCAAGACTTACTTGGAGAAGGCACATTCGTTCTCGTGACAGCAACAACCACAACATCAATCAGGATGATCACTTCCGCTCTACTTTGAGCCATTTGCAAAGAACACCGGTTTTGGCAGCAAGGTGACGGCACAAGAAGAAGCAGCAGTAGCAGCAGCAGCGGCGGTGAGGGCGGCGGCGGCGCAGCAGTAGACACGGCAATTGTAGCAGTTGTAGCAGCCGTACGAATCATAGCAGTCACGGTCCCGGTCGTCATCATCATAGCAGTCGTAGTCGTAGACATCATCGCCATCGTCGCGGTCGTTGCAGTTGTTCTTTCTTCTTTGCCTTCTTTTTGCAATGTGTGCTTGTTGCTATAGTACTTGCAGTGTTTGTTGCAACAGTAGTAGCATCAGTTGCACTAGGTGTGACGATGGTATTGTTGGCGTTGGTGGTGTCATTGGCGTTGGAGGCGTTGGAGGCGTTG